CTCGTAACCATTCGAGATCTGCAATTAATAAATGCAAGTTTTTTTGGTTAGTAAGTAGTGTTTGCATAAATAACCTTGAGAAACTTAAAGACACTAATGATCATGGTTGATTTTACAATACAATACTACTTTTATGAAATAATATTAATAATCTATTTAGATTATCAATACTACCTACTAGTTTTATAACCTTATTTTAGAATTCAAACCGTTGCATTTATCATTATAATCTTAATTACAAGTAGATATATTAAAAAAAATATTTGCAATTAGCTGCAGAAATGTTTATTTAGCTCGTTGATATGATCAGTTCTGGTACTCAGAGATTGTTAGTTTCATGTAAATAATACACATTTATACACTTACATGTGTTATAAAGTAACGTTAAATAAATATAGATACATAATGTGCATGCCAACCGCCATCCTAAGACCTTGAATTATAACTCTGCACTAGGTAATCAAAACTTTTATGATTTTTAAAATGTTTTTACGTAACATATTGTAGTTCATGGCGTAAGAATTATCCTATTACTGAAAACAATGATTACTAAACAGCTGAGTATTCAACGTATTTTCATTATAATGATCATGTAAAAAGATCCGTGAAAAATCATTTTAATTAAACACTATGAGTTTTGATTTGGATTATTTAGCTTCAGTGTAAAGCTGAGAAATTTGAATTGATTTTTTTTTTTATTGTATACTGCGAAAAAATTAAGGTTTATTCTCATGGGTTGTGTTCAATAGTAACAAAAGTTACTAATCGCCGGAAGCTTTTAATAACTTAAAATTTAAATGATTTAAATTCACAGTTAAAAAAAACGTATTCAAGTAATGTTTATTATTTTTTACTATAAGGTGGATAATTTTGATTTATAAAAAAAATATAAATATAATTTATATATATAAATAAAATAAAATAAAATAATATAATATAATAGTACAAATATTTTTACTTGGACATTTATAATTATAATTTTAAGCGTAATAATAATAAATTCAATACAGCCAGGACCATAAGAGTGATAAAAAGTGTATAATAATATCTCTATCATAAAACATTTAGATGTAAATGTGAATGTAAATAGTTAAACTATTCATAGTATTGCGAGCTATAAATAATTTCAAAGCCATTTAAAATTATTGTTTAATAATAATTTATATGAATGATAGTCTACAAAAAATTTTATAATCGACCTCAACTTTAAACTGCACAAATATTTCGAGACACTAAATTAAATTTTTTCTTCCTCGAAATTTACATTAATATAGAAACAAGGTAGGTGTGGGCCTAGTTTGTATAAAGCCTAGTATATAAGCTTAACTAGGCTTTATTACCCTTATCAAAATTACATATCATTTTCTGATTTGTTTTTTTTTTAAGGAATAATTTTTTATCTTAGGAGTTATAATTCTAAAATTTCCCTTCTCACTCACTAACTTCTAACATTTGAACGGAAAATAAATTTTGTCTATCCTACCATTTTTTTCGAGAGTGCTCCTGTAAAAACAACAGTAAAAAATTATAATTTTAAATTAATTATTATAAACAAATATAAAATAAATGTTGCAAAATTCGTGTCTAATGTTACAAATCTTATTTACGTATTGTTTTGACATATACGTTAGAAATCTAAAAACATTTAAAGATATTTTAACCGCATCCAACATTTTCATCTAAAGAGACAGTAATAAATAAGAGTCATAGTGTTGCATAGCAGTTGACACTTTAAATACTCAAATGTTCTGCTTGTCATTTTTGGCTGGATTATCACATGGCATTTTAGCGACTGCCAATTCTATAACTCTCAGTACAAAGAGCAATATAAATCAACAATACTCGACACTTCATCACAATTGGTTGTTAACTAAAGTTTACATAGTCCTAAACTTAAAAAAAAATTATAAGTTATCAAACATTAACCCAGTCATAATTACTAACACATCTGTATTATAAATTTAATTAATTATTCACATATACTAATGTTTTTAAGACTCAATTTGTTACTTAAGTAATCTTAAAGCATAAGAAGATATTTAATAATCACACTGACTGGACTACTAAATAGACACAGTTACCGACTTTAATATCTACATACAATACGTACAACAGAATTACCATTATATCAAAAATGTAGACCAAAGAGAAAGATATATAATACCACTTATTAATGTGAATAACTTATTTAATTACGAACTTATAATATTGATAATATTTTCCTAAGAGAGAGAGATAGGAATCGTATATTTAATACAATTTTTGTTGTTAATGTTTATTATTATTGATCATTAAAAATAAAACAACTTTATTAAATGAAAATTAAGCGGTCTATTATAAACTTAAGTTTCCTTACGTCATAACATACTTATCAATAATTAAAATACACAAATCTAACAAAGAAAATGAATTAATCGTATTTTACATTATACATTTAGGAAATTATTAAATTAATATAATTTTACATGCAAATGAACTTATGAATAAAGATGATTATTAAATATACATAGTGTGTCCTTAAGGACGGTTGAACAAAGTTCGTTTGTTGGTAATCCGTTAGATTTGAAAAAGTAAGCTAGTTTAATTTTAATTATAATCATAAATTATTCAAGTACAAGTCTATAATATGAAATCAATGTAGTTTATAAGTATTAATTTTAAAGACAAACTGAACAACGTTGAGATTGATTAGAATTATTACATTATTTTGAATTACATTATATTACAGTGTAATTACTGCTAGGGAAACTCGGTGATCACAGGAATGATAACCCTGTGGATTCAAGTTATTTAATGGTGGAAACATGCATCATTTTGATGCATTGATCACACAGCTAGTCATTTCCAATATTTGAGACTATTAAACATGATTGCAAACAGCAAATAGGTCCTCAATATTCCATTACAAGTGAAATAGACATGCCATCAGGGTAATATACTAAGAGTTGAAGTTGACCTTCGGGCACCTCTAAACACACAGTACACCATACAGTAAACAGAGTGATCAATTAAGGTGAAGATACCAATTTTCTAAAAAACTATTGAACAATTTCAATTTTTTTTAATAAAAATATTGTTTTATCAAACAAATTATCAATAATATGTAGTTAAATAGTTTTTTCATTCTCTCAGGAATCAAAACATGAACTTTAATTATTTTGATTGGGAACCCCAATTTTCGGTTTAATTTTTTATCCGACAAACTTTTTGCATTTTAAAATCATTTAAAGATTTAGATTATTTAACTACATATTATTGTAGAGTTTTTGGAATTAACAATTTTTTTTTGCGTTTATTTTATATTTTGTAAATTTCTAAATAAATGAGTATCTTTTTCTAAATAGATCACTCTTTATATACTTGCCACAGTACCAAACATTGCTATGGTGGAAATAACTTGACTCTAAGTAAAACCAGATGGATATACCTCAAGTAGAAATTATCATATTAAAATCAGAGACCCAATTAAGAAAATTCTGTAAAACCATGAACGTAAAAACAAGGAACATTGTTGGATAATTTAAAGCCTTTATGTTAAAAATGAGACGTCAAATTATGAACCATAGTAATAGAGGAACACTAATGATGTACCACATTAAATTTGGGATACTTTATGGTGAATAATCAATTAGTTTTAAGGAAATAAATCTAAACTACTAAACACGCGAGTAAAATAACCAAATTGAATACTTTAATAACTAAACACATTTAATTTTAGTGAAAAACCGATTTTTATTACAAAATTTGGTATAGAGTATGCACAATGAACTATTATGTCTTATTGTATAACTGTATCTTTGCTCATATATTTAATAACTAAAACATATATAATATAGAACTCAGATATGAATTAAATTGACGAAAACCTATTAATTCCGTTCTTATGATAAATAATATACAATTTTATAAACATATAAAGTATATATATAAATTATATTATAACTAAACTGTACAAGTGTCAGATGATTACAATAAACTGTTGCTTCTATTATTGAAAAAATTAATGAAATAAATTGAATTAAATGTTCCACATGCTACTAAATTTTTTTATTGTGTATATACATGGAAAACAGATCTAATTAACAACTTTTGATCCAATAATTATTTCACGTAATGTATTTTTAACCATGTTCGCGTTCTTAGGCTACGTTAATAGCATATTTTTTTATTATTTCTCTCTAATAAAAAAATAATAATATATACACTTTTTAAATGCCCATTTTTTAGCTTTTTTCTTACAAAAAATACATAGAATTAGAATGTAACACGAACAGTGTATGCATTATAAATACACGACTGTATAATCTGTATCCACACTACATACCAACTCAATGTATTAAAATATTTTTAACTCAAAAACTGCTACTCCTAAAGTTGTAAACTATTCTTTAATTTTTTTTAATGGGCATTTTGATATTTATAAAATTAAAATAATGTTTTCACTATTATTTTTTCTATAGAGGCAAATAATAGAAAATGAGCTTTTAATCTACTCTAAAAATGAAAAATTGTTAAAAAAAAATTGCAGTAATATGATTATTGGATCAAAAATGATATGAATTATGAGTTAGACAACAATAATACAGATAATTTATTTTTCATCTTATAGTTTTAATAGAACAAGGAACGAAATTCAATGATAAATAATAATAATAGTTTATATTAATTTTTTTCCGAAGCATAACACAGGATATTCTTTTAGCGAAAAAAACACTAATTATTAATATTTTATTTTCGTAAATTAAAATGAATTTGTTTACATTGTCAAGATAGAAACATTTATCTATCAAAATATGTTTATTATGGTTGTATATTTTAATAGTTAATCTATAAATTGATAATGATCGACGTTCAACTAATGACTTAAAATATATCTTTCCATGGAACAGTGTATTAACCAGTTTAACTTCACCATAATGTTGTCGAATATTTTGGTTTAAGTAATTCTTATAATAGAATGATTCACAGTATTTTGACAAATATAATCCAGATTTTTCATAACGAATATTCGATGCAAGTGTTAAATTTACATGTATAAAATAAAATTACTTTTACTACTGTTTGATTTTTCTATTTATATATACTCATGTACCCTAATTTTTACACAACGTACAACTAAATTTCATTTATTAAAAAGTAGCTAACAACCGGTTTTAAAAATAATTTTTAGGTTAACCATATTACGGGAGGAATATTTAGTTGGAATACATGATTCGAACGATACACAACAACTGTACTTCATTACTTTTTCAAATAAATTAAAAAAATATAAGCTTTAAGCAAAGTAGTAAATTGTAAGTATTTATTTAAATTTGTCGCGCTTAAAATCATGTATAGTTCACACATGCCGTGTTTTTATTTAACATTAAATATGTGATGGCTGTAGTCTAAGATGTCAATAAGATATCGTCATAACTGTTAAGTATTTCATCTGTTTTTTATGACAAAGTTAGTACTTTTTACTAGGTAAAATAGAAATAAACAAGTTTGATTATCATTCTGTTATATTTTACCAGCCTTCACATCATTTTCCTAAAGTTCCCAAGTGAAATTAAGGAAAATGGGGTAGTTTATAGAAAAAAGTTGGTAAGTCGAAACCTAAAATGTTTAGAAAAGACATGCTGGTCAAAACGATTTAATCTGTTGTGATCGAAAGTCTATCACGTATTTACGTCATGAATGTCTTTAGAATTTGCAAAAAAATAGCATATTATTAATCAAAATTAGTAATTGATTCTGTGATTTTTATAACGAAAATATTTCAAAGTAAAGACTTAGAGAATTTGAGAAAAAAAATACTTTATGATTTACAAGCTTTGTATTAATGCTTTCTAGACTAAACATGTTTAAAATATACTATCATATGTTTTCTGTCTTTATTTATTTAATCATTTATTTTTATCTCCAATCACGTGGTTTTTGTTTATTTAATTTTGAACAGGAAACTAGTGATGGATTTGTCGAATAGATTACTTTAGATCATTTCCCGATATTTATATGTTTAGAGATGTTAAAAAAAAATTAAAGAAACTTACATTATATATACCACTTAAAGTTTTATAATTAATGTATTTTTGCATAAAAATTAATGAAATTTCAATACATGTTTCAGTAAAAATACTACGTGACTTTACTCACATAAGATTGAGTTGTTTAACGAGTGAACAACTCTATTTATTCGTTGTAACTCAAACGTATACTATACAGGTATTATACAACTCATTAGTTATGCTACTCATAATAAATTCAGAAATATTTACTATGTTTATATTGTACAACTAAAACGTTTCAAAATAATTCAAAACGGTTAAAAGAAATATAGAAATTCAGCATTTATGTGCAAATTCTCAATACCGTTTTTGTATGAAGTATAACATAAAACGTTTTAAATAAAATTAGGTTAAATGATCATCAATTGATCACTGTTCACATAAATAATTAACACAGTCTCATAATTACTTAAAGATGAAGTTTTGTTTTCAAAATGTTTACATGATATTCTATTGTTTTTATTTCAAAACGAATTCGGTTTAAAACGTTCAGCGTTCCGTAAAAACATAATAGTTATCTCAAATGTAGCAAGACTAACATTCATTTATTAATGAAAAATCTATCAATGAGTTTGATGATTTTCCGACTACGTGATATATGATTATTTAATCATAGAACATGTCATTATAAAAATACAAAATACAAAATGATAATCGATAAAATTATTAAATGTTAAAAATATGTTTATCATTTTATCATAATTAAGTAACGGAATTTTATGAATTATACATTTTGTGTGAGTTATCTTAAAAAGGTTACAAGTTTGTAAATTTTGTTTGTAGAAATATATAAATATTTTTAAATTATTAAGAAATAAATCTTCTCATAAAAAAAAAAATAAGAAATACACTTTAGTTTTTGAAAGGATTTATAATTAGTGAAAACAATATTTATAATTTTATCATGGTACACATAATAATATTAATAATAATAAAATTTCGTATAATTATTAATTTTGATTTTCAATATGTTAATAGTTCTCTGTGCGAAATTCTTTCCAAAATATTATGTTAAACCTATTTTTTTTAGTTTTTTTAAATAGATTTTACAAAAATTAAACACTCCAGAAACGTTTCCTACCAACTCAGTCTATTGAAATACTGCAACGGATAAACGGTTTATTATTTAAATAATAATAATATTTAAATGGGAATATTCACTATAGTAACTATTATTTAAAAAATATATCATTTCAATTTAATTTTTGAAAATGTTCCGGAAATATTCCGAGCTTCAAACTTGTGATAAATTAAAGCTTATGTTACAAACCAGAAGTTAAATAAAAAATCAATGATAATTTAACAAAAACTATACATTTCATTTTTATTCCGTGTAATTATTTGTTGTTTTTGATTAGTTAATTTAATCGCTTTAAAAACTAGAGATGATAGAATAAATACAATTGTAGATTTAAAATCGGCGCAAAAAATTAGCTTTGGAAAGTATTATTTTGTTGACCAGCTGACAAGTGTTTAAAATGATTAATGATTTCATTGGAAAAATTTTTGAAGTATTGAAAAATAAAGGGAAAAACATTATTGAACTGTAAGTTAAGAATTAATAAAATTGTGAAATTTTATTCTTAATCAATGTAATATCTATTAACCTTGTACAATAAATTATCATTAAAACTAATAATATTGTTTTTATAAGACTATTACTACAAATGTAAGGAATAATTACTTAAATTTACACTTGCTATTACTTCATTTTGGTAAAAATAATTTAATTAATTTGAATTAATATCTTCCTATAATAGATTTGTTCAAGTGTAAAGTAACTCGCAATAAGAGCTTCGAAGGTTTTACGGTGGTGGTATTTCAAAAAAAATATATTGATGAATCAATTGTTCTTTAATAGTATATTTTTGAGTTTATTAAGAAATATTAAATTACAAACAAACACGGAATTATTGATAAATGGTATAATATCAAATAAAGAACAATTTTTTTTCAGGGACAATGTGCGGTATTGTCAAAAAACATTGGCTGTGACTCATAGCTGTCACATAAACTGTATTATCCATTAAATCAAGAACAATCTAAACTTCAAAATCCTTTACTAAATTTATTTAAGTATTGTAATACTATTTTTCATTGTATCAAAATAGTGTAATATTATACAAATGAATAATTATTTTGCAATGATTAAAGAACATTACGCCTAGATCAAAATTTTACATAAATTAGAAATCAATTTTGAATTATTTTTCAATTCAAGGTGACAATTTTCCTCTATTGATAATTTGGGTGTTCAATAAGTAAATGTGCCAGTGAATAGGAGTAGTTCGATTTTTTTTTAATTAAAAAAAAAAATCGCTTATTTACATAAAATTAAATTACTCTTCTGTTGTAAAAATACATATATATATATTTCTCTTATAATACACGTATCATGCTAATACTAATAAAACCATTTTATATCTTATTTTGCTTTATTTGTACAATGCTAAACGCCAAGTGTTTCGTTTAGATTATATTATTATGCAAGTTACTACATTCATAGAGTTTTAAATAATTTCTATATCTTATTCTTAATTATTCTACAATTTAATCTTAAGAGTATCACTATAATTATTTACGTTATACAAAGACATTGAATTACAAACCAACTTCATAATTTTAGTACAACATGCGATAGTTATTAAAACAAAAAATCTCATTAAATCTGTTTTCATTTAATTTCAATCATTTATAACCACCGCAACAAAAAATGTTTAGAATATTCCAAAGCATCTAAAAAATTATCTAATACCCTATCATTTTATAAAAATCCTGTTTTTTTATTTCAAGGGAATAATGTCTAGACATTTAAAAAAAAAATAATAATTAAGTCTAAAAAAGAAATAAGGTTTGAGAGCAGTTTTCCAAAGAATTGCTTGTATACAACAGGTAGACAGATTTTAACATAATTCACTGATTTTGTCTGATAGCGCAAACCGCTCAACACTCTTAAGCGCATACCCTTTTAAAAATTTAAAAAAAATGTAATCACTGATAGTACTATGATATTAAATTTGTCTATAAGCTAAAAAAAACCAGAGCATATTTTCACTGATGAATTTCATATAAATTAAAGTAATAATACATGCAATTTATAATTTTCATAATATTAGCTAANTTAAATTTTTCTATAAGCTAAAAAATACCAGAGCATATTTTCACTGATGAATTTCATATAAATTAAAGTAATAATACATGCAATTTATAATTTTCATAATATTAGCTAATATTTTATTCATAACAAATTAATTACATAATTGTACACAATTACTTCAGTTCATTTATCTCCAAAAATTAAAGTAGTTTTTTTGTAATTTGAACTTAATAATAATCCATAAAATTATATAGTGGGTTCATAATTACTTATGGAATTTGAATGCTAAGTCTGTGTGTAAACATTTTTTCAATCGATTGCACAATAATTGGCAATCTAACAATATTTATTTTCCGATTGTGTTAAAATAGTACCTTTCAAGTTTCTTTTAATAATTTTTTCTTCTGAATACTAAAAGTACTACATATTTTTTGGTATTATTTTTGACAAGTTTGTAATGAATTCCTCTTTAGAATTTATTATGTCAAATTAATTTTAATAAAACGTCTTTACTACTACCAACTAATTTTTAAAATTCTAAATAATTTTCACTGCTTAAAATTATTTCATTAATTAATTATATTACGATTATCATAACAAGAAAACTTTTAGATATTTCCTATTCATTGACTATAAATTCATAACTATGTGTTAATCAAAAAAAGTTATAGAAATATGTTAATTTGATTTATGATAAAAATATTAACAGAATTACATTTAGAAGTCTGAATAATGAGTTAAAATGGACACACTCTTGAAAATGTGTTTAAATTTTCACAAATATTTATTGGAAGTTTTTAATGCATAAATGTAAGGGAAAACTTTGATAATTAGTTATAAAAGTAATATATTTGTGCATAAATTTTCGATACTTTATGTTAAAATTACACTAGTTGTGTGTAAATCTAACGTGTATATAAAAAATATCATGCTGACGTATGGGAAGTTTTGGATTATTTCTTACAAGAGTCAAAAGAGCACAAAAACTATTAGTAATTACTTTTTAATATCATACAACCAAAGTAAAATATTATATTATTCTTATATTTACTATTTAAAAATGCATATTTTAGAGCAAAATTTTGAAGTCATAGTATGTTTGATTTTGTCAATGTCAATTTTAAAAGTTAATGAGAATATACCACTTAAAAAAGTTTAACTTTAATTTGCTTATGAAATTTGTCGTGGTACAAAATTTGAGTATACTTTTGGTCATAATTGTAAAATCGTCGCATGTTTGAAAATTGCAGACCTTTTTGCAATGATTTCCAGTTTAAGGATGACGTGCACAATATTTATTCTCTATTTATTATCAACAATTTATCGCAAGTATTTTATTTATGTTCAAAAAATAATGTACTTGCATACTATTCTAAATTTACTAAGATAGTTTGTATAGTTTCAAACAGTTGTTGTTGAAGTTTAATTTTTAGATATTCCGTAAAACAAAAAAATTGGTAATAAAAATGTTGTACTGTTTGATTAGCATAATACAAGTAGTTAGTACAATACATATAATCTGTAAAATTGATCGGAGACAATAATTGTCAAAATTAATTAGTGTCCGTTTACCTATACACCAATGAACTAATTTTGTTATTCTCAGATTATGTAAACTTTATACTAAAATAAAATTGGAATCATAATAAAATTTACTTGTTACATTTATTTATAATATTTGAAAATTTAATAGATTAATAGACTAAAAAATCTGGCTTATACTCTGCTAATATATACAAAATGTAAGACTAATACTTAATATTAGAAGAAAAAAAATTAAAAAATTTTCTTTTCAATTAATTTCTTGGAAAAATAGTGCAATGTAAAAAAATTATAAAAAAAATTGATTTATTCCTTTTTTTTCTAGTTTTATTATAAAACATAATATTCATCATAAATATAACTTTAATTATTAAAACTGAGAACCTGAAATTTATAAGGATTAAATCATCAGTGTAATAGTGAAATTACATTCTTTTTAATTAACAAATCTGTTATCTGTATTTCTGTTGATAATACAATTATCTAGGGTAGAAATTATTTAATAATTAAAAAAACTAGTCCATGTCAACTGAATACTTTCAACGATATTTATAATTAACTTGCAATAAAACATTTTTATTTTCTTTTTAAACTAGGATAGAATGAATGACTATAGATAAAATACAAAAAAAATTGCATTACATAGACGATTCAATGTCAAACCAACTAATATATGCTGATCTAAATATACCTAATGTAAACGGAATGAGGAAAAACACTTTAAGTTTACTGGATAACTAGATCACCTCGTGTTAAGCCCCTTGGTTTATGCAATTAATAATAAAAATATTTAACAAATAATATGTGGTTTAACTTTACTTAAGAACAAATTTTTATCTAATTATGTATTTTATCCAATCACCGACTATTCATTCTAGTCGTGAAATTGTTATGTTGTTCTATTTTATAAATGTGTATTACATGAATTATTTATTATTTATACAACGAGAAAATATATTTAAAAAAATGAATTCTATATTAAACTAACGAACATGTTAATAAAATTATAAGAAAATATAGTTCATATACATAAAAATTAGTATATTTTTTCGTCTATAATATGTTGATCTTTTAGATTTAATAAATATTTACCTATTATTATTGTTTTAAATAATTTTGATTTTTTTAGCTTTTGCTTAAATCATCAATGGACTTAAAAACGCCATACTCGAAAAAATTACTTTATAATCACTATTAGACACTTATTTTTTGATTGTCAATTCGAGGGAGACCTATCTTTAGTTTGTTTTTTTATAATTAAATCCGTAACTTATTGTAAATTATAAATGTATTCAGAGAATGATGAAGGATAATTGAACATGAGCGCATTCACATACTAAATTAATTAAAAGATATCATTTTCATGCTCAAAAATAGACAAGAAATTTAAGACTTTAAATTTATTTTAACTTCCAGAAAAATTATTTGAATTATATATAGCTTTGGGCTATTCACACTTATAATCTTATTATCTCAGGATTCATAATTTCATTTGAAAATATTATAGTTGTTTTATAGTAGGTATTGTAGTTAAAAGGATTACAATATTATATTATGTTTTAATTTCAAATAATAAAACATTATTCTTAGATTAGATTTAGATTATAAAGTCATACAACGATTTTGAACTTATAAAAATATTAACTTGGTATTTAGGTTCAAAGATCTTAAATCTTTGTATTTTCAAGATATATTTGAATGAATTATAATACGGAAGAACCATTAGATACATATTAACATACCTGAAATTAAAAACAAAAATGATCATTCAAACTACCTGGTCTTTTAAATATTTTAAACTGATTTTTTTTTTTAAATCTCATTTTTTACTTTTGATATCATTAAATTTAAGCTTTCAAAATTGTTACTAATATTTCATGTTTCACGGAAAGAATATTTTTTTAGGAACATTTTTATATGTATCTATGGTTTTAGCTGCATGCTAATATTTTGGGCACGTTACGTAGTTCACCTTTATTCTTAAAGTATTAGTATTTTGATGTAGTAAACACATTCATAGAAATGAATTTAAAGATAATTTTTTTGTGTTAATATAATTTTTACTTTGTCTCTAAACACTACCAATATTTCTGAAATTTTGATCTCAAATTTGTGTAAATAAAGCTTAAAAAGTGTAAAATTTCAATTCGTAAAACTTATATAAAAATATTCTTATAAAAAAAATTCGTTATTTTAACTAAAATAAAAATAGTTATAGAGAGAGTGTAAAATCAGCAATTTACTAGTATAAAAACTACTCTGAAAGTTTAAATTTCTATAGCATAATTGGAAAAATAATTTAAAATAATTTAAAATAACAAATCAGTTGTATTTTTAGACTCAGTTTTTTAACTGTAATATATTTATATTTATACATAGATATATAGATTATTTTTAAATTGTAGTGCAAAACTTATAACAAATTATATACCTTCAAAACTAGTCTTGAGAGCATATGAGTATCGACCCCGACACGGTTAAATACTATATAATGAACTATACAAAAGTTTAATTACCAATATTTTCTTATATACTAAAATTAAAGAAACAAATAATTTTAATATTTTAAACAAAATTAATAAAGAGCAAAACATTTAAATAAAAATACAGGTAAATATATTATTTCTACATTTTAATTATAACATAAAATTTAATTTAAGTTATTTATTGGTGAATTTATATATATGTGTATATATATATCGTTATTATCTTTTTATAATAAATTAAGCAAGATTATTATTCATTTTTTAACATTGATGCAATGGTATA